TGTGATTTTTGCATAATGCTTGGTAAGTAATGGAAAGGTTAAGTTGTGCGCAAATATCGTTCGACTGCGTAATGGAGAAAGAGGCGAACCATTCAGTTACCAATCGATTCTGTGCAGTGGACCGATTAAACTAGCGCAATGATTTGACGAAATTGTACGGTACTCCGAAACTGAATATTAATGATTTACTGAGAAATAGAGAAAGATTTAGAGGAGATTAATACTTGGAGCACACATATGTATTCGTACACACTTGAAATTGGATTGCAAAAATAGAAATCTTGATCGTTGCTTTGTACGAGGGCATTTATCCGCTGAAAAATTATTCCCAAACACAAAGGCAAATAAAAAAAATAAAAGCCACGACTGCAGATAACAGTTTATCAGCCGTTAGTCAAAGAGCAAATGGATTGCCTTCAAAAGGTGAAATTGGATGGGACCCGCGAAAAGCTTTTCTCCCTTTCTTTTACATAGAAGAAATAAACGTCGGAAATCAATGGCGGAATTACTATTCGAGCTAAACCAAAAGAAATAAAATTTCTACGTTTAGCCACAAAGAGACGTATAATTACATCTGACCTGAAGGAATTGTTTCGAAATCGTTTGAGAATTACGATATCTTAAATGAAAAACGGAATGAGTATTCTCTTATGGAGTTCTTTCTTGCCGAGATAAAAGTAGAATATGGATTTAAATCGGTATTTGAGAAACATTGAAAATCCCCCTCTGTTCAGTGTTAATTCGATTAGTATAACGCTCGCTTTAAGATTTACATTAGTTGGCTCGATATAACTTTCACAAATTTGCGAAATAGCACGATAAACTGAGAGTTTCAACGGCCGGAATTCCGTGTAGGGTCGATCACACGCTCGATCACAAAATTCATTTCGCCGTGAGTTCATCCAGCTGGCACAGTTTCAGCCTACAAATTCGTGGGCGTGTGCAGAGACGTCGCAGCAGTTTGCGCGTTCCGCTAAGCTAAGTAACGGAAAACATATCAATTTACTAATACCGCACATTAATTGGGGCTCCGGTAACCGTGACGTAAGTAAGTCACACCCACGCTCTTCTTCCGTGGCCCGAATTATTCAGCAGCCACGTTCCATATCACCGTTCCACTTTCGAAACTTCGCACTTTAGCAACTTAATCGTACCGACGCAGCGGTGTAACCAATCCGCAAAGCGAAAGAGCATCCTGGAAAAACCGCAAAGCGACCGAATAAAATTCTGATGGAGATCGTTGGAAAAGCTGCGCGAATTCTCGTTCCGGAGTTCGTCGCGCGAAACGATAATTTCTCACCATTTCCCTCCGCTTTCATTTTGATTCGTAAATTAGGAGCGATCGTCCAGTTTGCGAATGGACCTCACCTCGTTACTTTAAGGATAGCGATCCTTTTGGGTCCAGGGAATTCTGTACACTGACACACAGCTACGAATCTAATAGAAGGATCGCACTAAACACACATTAACACAAAGCTACTAAACACAGTTCCATCACATGTAGATCGTCTCATTTGTTACGGAACGTTGCGGAGTGCATCCCTGTACTTTTGGTGAACGCTACTATGGAATTTCATGAATTCCATCAAGACACGTAATAGTTTTCCCGATAATGACAGAAGGTAATAATGCTAATGTATTTAAATGTATGAGAAATAAGTGTTTAGTTCTAATCTTCAATTATTTGGTATATTTTGTTTTTAAGAAAAATACTTAATTTTTTTTCATAAATATGGAAGTTTTAGAATAGACCTAAATGTTTTTCATTCCTTCTTATATCGATCTCTTTCCGATAAAAGATATTATTTTATATATAAAATATTTTTAATATAAGTGTTTTTGTGAACTTTTACAAAAACATCAATTAGCAGAGAAGATAATTCGCCACTAGTAATGGACGTAATTAATGATATCTAATGACAATTAGAGATCTCTCGTTAGTGCAAGCCCTTGGGAAGTCCTTTTTTCTCCAAACAATTACGAGCCTGTCCGATAAACCAGTCGTCGGCGTCTCGCCGACTCGCGCAGATTTTAATTCCGTGGAGAGCCGTTCGTTTCGGCTATTCGTCGAACTTACGGCAAACGAACGTGTCGTGAGCCACTGCCGTCTCATTATCACCGAGAGAAAAATATGTAGGGAGAAGCACGAATGCCGTGACATGGCTGTGATTGTCTCGCTGGCATCGCGTTTTCATGCGACTGATAGAATTCGTGAAACTACGGGCGTGTTGGACGTTAGACCTTTCTGTTGATTTCACAGTAATGCCGACTGTGCAACACTTCGCTTCGTATCAAGAGAGATGTGTACACTAGACATGCACATACATGTATATTAAAATCGAGATATTACTAGGTAAAGTTATAAGCAAACATCAGAATTAAAATATTACTTTAATGTTAGAGATTCTAGAATTCTATATATATTTCTAATAAGAGTTATTCTTCAAATGTACGCTATAAATATTTTATAGTCTTTAGGATACTATTTATGTTAATTATAATTATAGCAAAATGTGCGTGTGTAGAAAATAAGAACTGTCTTAGCTTATTTTTCAATATTTTTATAACAATTTTTATAACATTTTTATAACAAAGCGATAAACGCTCTGTCCCATGCGTATCTATTTGAGAACAGGTGAAAGCACAATTTTTCGTTCGATAATGCTTTTTTTTTCGTGTTTTACGATACGATTATTCTATAAAAGAAACAACGTCGCGATATCATCATGGGATCAATCTAACAATCATGCCGACGACGGGGAATTCACGCTTTTGCTAACAACTGACGCTACGTTTATTCGCGATAACTTTGTCGATTATCCCAATACGCAGTTGACAAAGCGGGAAATTAAAGCTCGCTGGATGCAGGTATATAGATCCTGAGTGGATCCCAGCGGAAATTTGCTGCGTCGTGCTACATATTTATGGAAATTTAATGCGTTACACATCCAGCGGCGCAGGCGGACCACCGTGACCGCTTTGACCACTTCGACTATCACTCGAAGGGTAGCCGGGCAGCCCGCAATTCATCCGTCGGTCAACAACTCGCAACACGTTTATCCGTGATAAGTTCGACGATTGCTCGGGAGCACGTCGGTTCCCGAGGAAATTAAAACTTGGCCAATTCAACCGTCCGGTTCGGACCGGTTGGCTTTATTAACCGGGCGGGAGAGAAAGAAAGCCGCCAGAGGGATGAAGCTAATGAGAGATACAACGAGGCCGCTGAAGCAAATAAACCACCCTCGTCGAAATATGACGAGCGCGCACGGCGCGCGTGTTCTCTCTTTCCCTCTAGGGTAATCTTAATTCTCAAACTGTTGCCTCTTCTCCGGCGCGATGGTGCGCATGCAACGCGCCGAGTTTTGATCAACGTCCGACGCGGATGGATGAAAAATTCATCGCCGCAACGCGCAACTCACCCTCGGGGCACTTTATTAGAATACCTATTTGCCAGAACTTGCAACCGCAGTCACGCTCAATTTGTCAGCCTTAACGAACTGATTTCTCATGTCGGTACTCTCGCGCGGCCAATTATCAATGATTTTTCTTCGTTTTGCTAGCTCTTCTTTTCCAAACGTATAGCGAACAAACTTGCGTAATCATAAATGTTGTGAGTAAATATATTCATGAATAATTGTTTGTTTCGGAATGTATTTAGATTTTTAGATACGTGTGTGTTGTGTTATTGATATTAATATTTAAGCGTTTGATCGCTGCTTCTCTGTTTTGAAATATTTTCATGCGAGAGAAGATCAGAGAAGAGAGAAAGAGAGAAAGAGAGAAAAGTGTAAAGAAGAT